ACCCAGCCTCCTCTCTTCCTCTGGGAACCCCGCAGGGGTGGGAGATCCAAGGGGGAGAAAGGAAGGCCTTCTCCCCCCAGGACACGGTGAACCAACAGGGTTCAACGCCACAGGACGGCAGCCGGAGGCAGAGGAATGGAGGTGACCGACGGCTGCCGAGGGGGCCTTTCTGCGGGGGTCGGGTTGCCCAAATTGGGCTCAAAACTGAACCCACCGAAGGGATCCGTACTCTTCGTTCAAGGCAGTCGAACCAATCAGTTAAATACGGCCCCAGGAATTGTTATTTCAGTATTCGGGGTTCATTAGCCATTCTGATTGGCAGTGAAGAAAAAAAATGACACTGCCGTGAAATGCAGCGAGCAGGAAGTGGAAGGAGAGACCCCAACGGCCCTCTCGCTTCTAAACGGACGGCTAGATGTTGCCTCCAGCGTCAGGGGCAGTCTACCTTTTGAGACACAACGCAGCTGGAGAGAGCTCGCGGCGCCTCTCTCCTCCTCGCAGGCCTCCCGTTGCCTCTCGTAGGCGCGGGATGCAGGGCAGAGGGGCTCACCTCCCCCCTTAATGGCTGCCAAGGAGCCCCTGCTCAGCCGCGTCCCTTGCCAGCCTCCCGCGCGCCTTTCGGTCTTCTTCCCCGGCAGAGGTGCCCCGTAACGACACCTGCCCGGAGCTCCCTGAAATCCCCAACGGCTGGAAGACCACCTCCCACCCGGAGCTGATCCACGGGGCCGTGGTTACCTACCACTGCTATCCCGGGTATGAGCTGGTGGGCACAGAGCTGCTGATGTGCCACTGGGACCTGATGTGGAGCGGGGACCTGCCGTCCTGCCAGAGAGGTGAGAGGCCGATACAGGGCTGGGAGGAGGGCCCTGCGTGCCCGGCGTCTGTGCCCATCGGGGAGGGGAGGGGAGGGAAGCCTCTGCAAACCGCAGGCGCATCTGGGAGCAGATTGAGGCTTTCTCTCCAGATGAAAATCAGAGCTGCTCCCTTTTTCCAAGAGAAAATTTTCCATCATGAGTAATTTTTGTACATATGATGGAAACAGGTTTTTAATTTACTTTAAGATTGTTCGCTGCCCAGAGTCACTTGCTGAGATCAGCAGCCATACCAGTTGAATAAATAAATAAACACAGGTGAAGCGTTGGTCACATGGCTGTGGCCCCCATCTTGACTTTTTTGACCCCTGGCCTTCTGGATGCCCCTGCTGGAGGGAAGGTCCTTCTGGGTGCCCCACGCCATCAGCTGCATGGGGGAATTGTGATGGGGCCTGAGCCACGTGTGTGTGTGTGTGTGTGTGTGTGTGTGTGTGTGGTGGGGAACACACAGCTGATTGTTCTCACACCTCCTCTGTTGTTTAACATCCTATACAACGAAGTGAAGCATACTTAAAAAGACTTTAAAATGCACTGGATTTGGGGGGGACACACCGCCTTGTTTCTAACCTGCCCGTGATTTCCCAGGAAAAAGGTCCCACGTTTTAAAATAGCAATAGGGGATGCTGAGCCAGCCCCTTCTCCTCTCAGATCAATCACGCTTGACGTTGATTGACAGCTGCTCTCCAGGAATTCAGAGTGGAGGCGTTCCCAGTCTCCCTGGCCTGCCCAGGAGCTAAACCTGGCTCAAATTCTCCATGCATAAGAAGGAAGCGGTAGGACTCTGGTGGGCAGAGGGAATAGCAGATGCAGCCAGGCGGTGGCCAAATTTCCTAAAAGCCACCCAATTTGGAAACCCAACCGTGGCTGTGTCCTGGGTGTGTCAAGAGCTCCCCCTGCTGGCCGACGAGAGGACCGTTGCTAAGTCTGGAAGGGCAGGAGGAGGCTTTTGGAAAGCGGCGCTCTCCTCCGCACCCAGATTTCCAGCCAGCAAAATTGGGCGCGTATATTTTTAACGTAAGACGGGATACGGCCAGCAAAGTCCCGACGACGGCCACAACAGCGCAATCAACGTTTTGCCTGTTTCCTCTCGGGTCGCGTGGGGCGCTTCCGTCGCACTGTGGACTTTGCTGACCTCCCTGCGGACAGCCCTGATTTCAGGGCAAGCGATGCTATACCGAGTGCAGAAAAGGAATAAGGAATAGCAAACGAAGGGAAAAGGAAATATAAACAGCAGGGTTTCATGTCTGCTGTTTATCGGTGAAGTGGCTTTGGAGCCAGGTGGCTGCTTTGTGCTAGCCCTGGGGAGCTCTTCAGAGCTGGCCCGGAAGCCGGCTTGGCCACTGACGTTGCATCTCTAGACACTGCCTGCAGCGTCAGGCCCGCACCCTCACGGGCCGCCGTATGGTTGACCTTCCTCCGTGCACCCCAGGGTGACTGAGAGAAGGCAAAACGCACCGGGCCGAAAATGTAACGGAATAAGATTTGGAACAGTGGACGGGCTGGATCCACTGTTGCCCTCTAGGGTGGGTAAACTCTCCAAGTTAAGAAGAGGGGGACCGTAGCAAATAAGTTGCCTGTGTGGGGCCAATTACGTTGGGCAAGCTGGGCATTTGCAGAATGAACGAGGAAGAAAGGAACTTGAGGCTTGCCGACTCTGCTGAGCGCCCATCACAGGGCGCCAGTGACCGGGTGGACTTCAAGGACCCCGGCATCCTGGCCAAGGACCTGATAAGAAACCCCAGTAAGAGAAAGTCAGTATCCTGCGTGGTGCAACTGATGCTTCCCAGAATTATCTGAGAGGCCATAGAAACGCATGAACATCCGAACAGTCTGTAGAGGGAGAAGAGGGGACCCGGTGGCCGTTGGCGACTGAGAGCCCCCTGCTCCTCTGAACGCAGGCGGGATAGAAAAGGCTGTGGGGTCAGTGGCCACGTTGGCTTTCAGACCTGGCCCAAAGGAGCCGGCAGCACGGCTAGGGAAGCGTCTGCAGGCATGCACTGTCGTGCAGCCTGACCCTAAAGCCATTCCTTTCACCAGTGTAAAAAGAGCAGCTAACGCCCTGCGCTGTCCCTCTCCACCCCTTGCTGTTCTCGCTTCCACCACATTCAGTCCCCGCATCGTCCGTTGCTCTCGGGTCGTCCAGCTTCCGTCCCCCTCTTTCGGGGAAACTCCTTAGCTCCAGCCAGCCACCTCTTCCCCTTCCTCTCCCTCCGTCCACTCTGCCTTCAGACACTGGTTGTGTCCTTCACTCTCTTTCGGTGACACATTTCTTACTCCTCTCCCTTCCACGCTCATCCGGGGCACATCCATTTTTGGCCTTTTCTCGTCTTGTTTTATCCCAACCCCACTGCCTCCAGCTCGCTTTGATCTTTCTCCTTTCATACCCAACTCTTCTTTCCACGTAACAAAACTCACTCTGATAGAGAACCGTTTTCACTTCTTCTGCCCCACATTCAGTCCTGCCCGCCAGCCACGTGCTATCCGCTTATTCTTCTATAGCATTTTCTCATCTTAAAACACCTCCAATCCTTTTCGCTTCTTTAGCAGACATTCCGTCAAGGTACACAAATTCATCTGCTTGCTCAATTTTGTCACCATTTATGGGTGACTTGCAATCATTTGTTCCACTTTCCCTGTCAAGCACCACTGCCTTAATCTTTAATACATTTGTTTTCAGATCCATATGCTTTTTGTATCCTATAATCTAATCCACCTAACTGCAGATCTTTTGAGTTTTCGGCCAGCAACGCGGCACCCTCTGCAGATAAAAGTACGTGTACATTTACGTCCTCTGATATTCGGGGAGGTTGGGGGGGGCGGAGGGTTGGAGCCCAGAGAAGTGCATTCTCAACAGTCACCCCTCTCTTTGGCATTTTATAAAATGGTAAAAACGGACCTCTTCAGGGTGTTCGGATCTGCTTGGCAATAGCAGCGGTGTTTATTAATGCTTTTTATTAATAGTATTTATTGATTGAATGGTTTGGTGCCTGAAAATAGGCAACACGCAAACGTTTGCAAAGAACCAAGTCGTCGTCCCCACAAGTCCTCATACCTAGATCCACAAATATACTAAAAACCCGGGGACATCGCTCCTGCTTGCCTTTCTCCCTGTTCAGCATCGAACCTTTCATTAAGCAGGCCATTTGTTCCTACATGCACTTTACTTCCACCGTGTACTGCTTATGTCACGTCAGCACCCAGCCTTCAAGGCCGCATCTATGCAAAATATTCCCTAATTGAAGCCCATTCATGCGCTTTTTCTGAAACCACAAATGTACAATAAACTTTTTCTCGCACACATGCATTTTCCAGTGACCTGCAGAAGAGCGAAATCTGGTCTGCGCACCTGTTAGCATAAAGCCTCCAGGTACTTCCCCGATGTTGTTCATTGTAGCCCATTGAACCCTTCCACTCAGAAATTAGCCGAGCTCTTTCCAAGCGCATTTAACAAACAAATCCCCCTGTAGCTTTTGCATTAACTCTTGCGCCCTTTCCCTCCGTCTGGTGGAACAGTAACACTGTTCTTCCAATCATCTGGCACAGATGCAGCCTTCAGGCGCAAATTAAACAATGCGCACAGTGATTCCACATGCAGATCACATCCATAAATTAACATTTCTTCAGTTACACAGGTACTCCTGCAGCCATGCCACTTTTCAACATCCTCAGAGCGTTTATTACTTCCTTTTCATCCTTTTGGACTGTAACTTTAGTAGCATTTGTTTCAGTTCTGGTCTTCAACTTCCCTCGATCGTTCCCATACAAATTTATAAGATCCTCCTTCCAGCATTCCCTCACTTCTGTTTCATTGCCCCAAATCCTTTTCCCACTTCTATTTTTAATTCCACTCCCTCTGCCCTTTTCACCCACTTTGCTTCACCCACAACTTTAAAATGTCCATCAAAACCCCTCTATGTGTTCTAATCTTGACTGTTCCTTGCTCTGACTACGCTCTTTGCAACAGTCTTTTTCTCTTTCTCACACATGGTGCAAAATCTTTATTTTTGCAGAAATCTTCTGCACGTGCACTTTTTCTCATCTGTGGCCTCTTCCCCTTCAGTTCCACCAGGCGTCCTTTTCCCGTCAGCGCAACGCCACACCCTTGTGTGGTCCTCGGTCACGTCATGCTCTCCAACACCTCTTCTTCTCACCGCTCTCCATCCGTTCTGCTGGAGAATTAATCCATCACATACTTTCTCATACAGGACTTACTTTTCTTTCAGTCCCTCTGCTTTCGCTCATGTTTTTCCTTTCCTCTCAGGTCAGTTTTTTCCCAAGATTTATTCTTCACAGTATCAAATAATGGTCTGTCCCCCATTCACAACTTCTCTTCACCTTTCTGTCCTCCATTAATTCTCTCAGTCTTTCATCAGAAACGTCACATCAACCATACTTTATACATTTGTATTAATTCATTTGCCATATGAATGCATGAACAGATGTACGCTCAAACCACATATTTACTTATTTATTTATCTCAGTTTGGACACTGCCCAATTCCAACTGGCTCTGGATGACTCACAAGCAGTATGTCGGGTTCAGCCCAAAGAACCCCATGAGCCAGTACGGGTCTAGTTCGGTAGCTTTTATTAGCTTCCACCCACAAGACAGAATCTCGCCAGACTGAATCTAAACTTCCCAAGCCA